AAAATGGAAAATAAAATCTAAATTTCTAAAGTATCGCTTGTGAAAAAAGTTTATTGCAATATAATCAAACTAATTTAAAAATTTTCAGACACTTGAAAATTTAATTTCCGATTAAGCAATTTCATTGGTAGGCGATTAGCTTCTGAGTTTTCTTCAATAAGTTCTACTCGAACTTTACTCCATCCATCTTCCATAATATTTAATTGAACTTATTTCCTATTAAAGTACAAATTAATTTCCTTGCAAATTATAATTACGGTTGGAATAAAAAAACTCAAATTTAGTGAAATTAATTGAAATGAAATAAGCTAAGTTATGAAACGAAATACTAAACTTTCCAAGCAGTAAAAAAACTTTTTATGAAAGCTTTTAATTTATTATGGTAATTAAAGACGGTATTCGAATCTAACTGAAATTTAAAAGCTCGAAATAATTTATGATATGCATTATATATTTGTTATTATTATTTTATTTTTTACTTTTCAACTGATTTGCTAGAAGTGTTTGAGAAACAGAAATTGAATTCGCTAAATTAATTATTTCAGTTTCCTACATTTCGAGAAAATATTATTTTAAGAAAACAATTAAATTATTTTCCGTTACTAAGTTAGTGATACGTTGTGCTGTGATGCAAGTTATGATGCTCTAAATGAGTAATAAAAACTTTCTCTAATTCTTACAATGAGCTTACTTGGAAGATTAGGATAATTTAATTATATTGCTAATTATTTTCGTTATCATTTCTGATTTTTTAGAAAAAAATAAATACTTTCTTTTGAATTGTGGTTTAACCTAATAATGCCCACGGTTGATTTGATGATTTGACACAAATTACTTAAACATTCCTAATTTTTAATTCATAGAAGTATAGTTGTTTAGTTCACAATGCAGAATTTTTTTTAAATTGGAGCTCAAACTAGTTTTCTCGATTAAAAATATTATATTATTTTTCTTCGATATTAAGAAGAAAAGGGTTATTTTGGTTTACTATTTAAGGCATGTGCTCAAGGAGTGGTAAACTAGGAGATCCCCCAAGGCCTCTAAATTTTAGAACCACAAAAAATTAGTTAAATTTAATAGTTCATTTAAGTTGATTAAAGTTTTAGATTGGGGAAATTGAAATGTTTTGCAATTTTTGAATTATTGCAATATAATTTATAATTTTTGTCGTTATATTTTTTCAAATGTTATATATTTTTAAATTTGTAATATTACAATTTTAAGAGTAATACGTGTAACCTTCTGTTTCCAAATTTTAGTCTGCTTCATACTCTGTAAAACTTTTGGTGTATACTTGCCCCATTTTTGGTGTTGAGATAAACTAAAAATTTTTACAGTGCATTTTCACAGTGTAAATTTTTTTATTTGCTTTTCATTGTTATAGTTTCATTTATGTATTCATTCAATTTTCGTTTGCTGATGCACAACACATATTTCCATGCGCATTAGAATCAATTTAATGGCTTAATTACAAAAGTATTTCGTTTAAGAAACAAGCACTTTTTGATAAATATTCGCTCTAATTTTTTCAAGCAATTATTATGTCAGTTTTATGTAGGTTTCTGTATTATAACTACAGTTCTGTATTTAAAAATGCATTTAGTTTACCACAATATAAAAAATGGTCGTGGAAACTATACGCCAAAATTTTTTCTATTTCATCTAGAAATTTAAAAGGGTGGATAATACTTTGTTTTACAGAGGTTTTCTCAAATCACAGGCACGCCACAACGTTTTTAACCAACTAATTTACTTTAAAATAGAAGTAAGAATAATTTTATTTAATTAGTTTTTTGAGGATTTTATAATACTTCTTCAATATTTAGTTATGAACCAAAGAGCAGATGGCATCGATGTAATAATTGAGATTTCGCACAAATACTAAGTCGTGTTATTACAAACATTAATAATACTTATATATTGCAAATAATAATGTAAACTTAATAATTGCTTGATGGTGATTTAATTGGTTTAATGATTTTTACATATAATCAAATAATCCTAACTGTTTCATTTCTAAATTTATATTTCTACCGGTAGTCATTTTTAATACTTTTCCATGCCCTAAATGGGATACATTTAAATAGTGTTAGTCACAATAATTAGCTGTAGTTAATAAATTATGGTAAAAACTTTTATCTCAATGTAACTTATTCTCCATACAACTTGTTTCTATAAAACACCTGATTGTGTGAAATAAAATTTGTCTTTACAATTTGCTCAAAAGTTTTCCTTTCTTTCTTTTGGATTCAAAATTGCAACAAGAAGCAGAAAATAGTTGATGTTTTGCTAAAAAATAAAATATAAATTTAGATTTCAGATTACAAAAAATAAATTTTGTTTTTTGTTTGAATCGAATTCTACTCGAACTATATTTAATATCGTTATTTTGTCATCGAACATTGGCATATCTATTTAATCAATGTGAAATCATAACAATTGTCTGGTTAGATTTGTATATTTGAACCAGGCGCAGAAAACTAATTAAATTCTAAATAAGATATCAGAAAAGTTGGGTTTTAGAGAATTTTTCTGCGCTAAACTAATTTATATTTTTATTATATGGTGATGAAATTCTTTTCATGGTTTCCAATCTAATTAATCGTATGGTCCATATATCAATCCTGCATTGAAAAAAAGTATGGTCAAAACTACTGGAATATTATAAAAGTTACCATGCTTCTGGCTCTATGAGAACACCAAAACGTACTGTAATTTTTAACGGAAAAACTGCCAAATGAATCGTTTAAGTACAGTGTATTTTGCTTTAAGTTTTTGTTCTTAGCAGAAATGTCACCACGAAGTACGGCAATTTTATCAGAATTATTTTCTCCGTGTATAATACTAAAAATACTTTTTTTTAAAGAAAACTCTTTTGCGATTCTGTGCTGAAATGTGACAAATGATGTCGCAATTTGAAGTATTATTGTAAAAAATAGATCGTAAAAAAACGGAAAAATTTCACCATAATTTTTTTTTCCGTAGAGTTTTCAATTATTGAAGTTTCTAAATCTATTCATCTCTTTTCCTCAAATTAGTTTTGTTTTAGCGATATAATTTCTGTTTATACATAGCTTCGAAATCACTATAAACAATTTATGTTTCAATAAAAAAAATAAAAAAAATTTTCTGAATATTCTAAAAAAAAAATCTCTTTTCTTTTTTTTCAATTATAAATACATATTTTTAAACTGATAACATATGTTAGCAAATTTAATTATACTATTTTCCATATTTAAATAAATATTAGCATTAATAAAATAATTTCACTTCAGGCATTTCCAAGTATGTTTGTGAATTTCGCCAATAAGCATACACGAAGTTCTGCTGGTTTAAACATTGCTAAGAGTTCGTAATCTTTAGTATTTTGTAAATTGAGAAAGTAACTCAAAAATTCTTCTAATATGGAAGATAAATGCATATTTTCTGAAAAAATAAATAGTTAAAAAATGGTTCAATTCCATTATCTCTTCTATCGGAATTTTTCCCGTTTCTTCAAGAATTTTAGTCTTAAAATATTCCTTTCCTTCCGATAGATTGGTTTTCAGTTTCTTTGAATACTTATAGATTCTAAGAAAAAGGTTTTTTACGCGATTTCTTATGAATCTCATCTTACATTGAATTTCAGAACAGGTTCTATTCACGGTTGTAGTTTTTGCGAGTATAGAAATTTTCTGAAGAATCAAACGAAAAACAAAAGAAAATTTCCAGAAAAAAGAAGTAAATGCATGGATAAAATATTTTATTTCTGAACTATTGCTAGTTGTAGAAGGGACCAAAAAAAGGAAATAATACAATCTTAAAATGTAAATCATTTTGTCTCTTAAATATTTATCTGTAAATAACATTAAATTAACTTGTTTTTTAATTTATTCCTAATCTATTATTTTTTGAAAAAAATACATTGAAAATAAAGTTTCATTTTGTTGATGAAGACTTTGTTCACTATTTTAATAAGTGATTTTTATAATGTATTCAGGTTGTTAAAATTTTATTAGACTTAAATATTTTTGGTAAATAAACAGTTATTTGTTTTAATGTTATTAATAAGATACGTAAATAATTTAATAAAAACAATACAAACTTAATATAATTGATGTGGGATTTAAAAGATTTCAATTGTGTGAATACGTGCTTTTTTTTTCTTTGTACATCGTCTATTAAAAATGGGTTTTTTTCCATTATAAACTAAATGAATGGAAGCATTTCAAACTTATTTATAAGACTATAAACAAAATTCATTATGGCATGTGTCTAAACACTTTTAAAAAATAATTCTAAAATTGGCAATGAAAGTTTGAATTTTTTTTAAATAGTTCCATTTCATCAATAAGCACCTTTCCCTTTGAGAATTAAAGTGAAAAAAATGCATTGTTTGAAATTGAGAATAGATCTTTCTTTGTTTGCGAATAATTCATTTAAAAAACATAAAAGGATAAACATTTTAATTGTCTAAATATTAAAATATAAATATTAGGGAAATCTGAAGCATTTTGAACACAATATATCATTTAAAAGTTGTAACAAATGAATACAATATAAAAAATTCTTAAAAACCATTGCTCAAAAATGGATTTAAAATTATAGTACAAACTTTTCAATTATTGTATATTTAGCATTGTACGTTTTGTACATTTATATGTGCTTCATATTCATAATTTCTGTGCAAAATATTTGTGATTTTATAAAAAAAAAATTCACATAAAAGGTTTCAAATACATGTTTAAAAAGAAGAAAAACAAAATTTTATCGAAATCTGGCGAATCACTATAGAGAAAGGTGGAACTGAAATTATCAAAATCTGTTTGACTAATGGATGAAGCGAAAAGTTACAGAAAAGCAATTATAAGGACTCCTTATATGTTTTAAGTTTTCAGATTATTTATCAGGCAACAAAGCTTGTTTTGTTTCTCCGCCACTATCACAAGTAATTTGACAGATCTTTAGAACGTTTTTGCTTTATTCTTATTTTATTTACTGTTCGTTTGAAGTTAATGAATTCAACTTCCCATTTGACTAGGATTCTAAAAATATTGTCACGTTAAAGTGTTTAGATTCAGTGAAGATTACAAGATGAGAATTTGATAATTTATTAACATCAGGAATTTACAAAGACCGGCAACCAGTCTGCGCCCAGAAGAACTCCTCTTTCATCATCATCATTTGGGATTGCTCAGGGCCTTTAGGCCCCGTAGGGGCCTTTTACCCTTGCATCTGGTACTAGTGAGATCTGACTTGGTTGTATCTGAGATAAAAGAGAAGGAGAGAGAGAGAAAAGAAGGAAACTAATGTAATATTAGTTTAATATTAGATGTGCGCGACTGCAGCGCCCAAAGCCACGCCTACATTTGAAGTTGAAAATTAGCGCCAGTTATGGCTAGCGGAGAAATATCAAGTAAATAATATTGAGATAATGCAATCAGCGCCAATAAAGTTTAGCGGTAAATGTTGCAACTAAATTGGCCCTTTTAAAAGCCTTTTTTAATATTAAAATTTGTTAAAATTAATTAAAATTTGTCGAAAGTATTGCATCACTAGTTAGAAAGTATGCAATAGGTCTGATTTTAGAGTCCTCTATTAACATATCTGCCTCAAAAATTTTATAAAAATTTGCTGCATTACATTTCATCGCATTTTTAAAAAATTTGGAATTTAGATCAACAATTGTTTCAGTTAAGGTTTTAATGTGGAAATCTCTATGGATGGCACTATTTCTTATGAAGTATGGCATTCCACTCATTTTTCTTAGAATTTTATTTTGGAAAGTATTTAATTTCTTTGTTTGCTTTTTATTCAAGTTGCACCAGGCTGGGGATGCATAAGTTAAGATCGGTCGAATATATGTTGTGTATATGAATNGTAATCGGGCAAACTTGTACCGTCCCACTCTCTTTTGTCTCATTTCTTCTATGTACAGGCACCACTTTGTAAAATCGGCTGTTGTTAGGATTTCTCTCGTAAGAAGGGCTTGGAACACATCTTCTGCGACGCCCTTCATGAGGTGGGAAACCTTATCTCCTTCGGACATGGTCGGGTCAACCTGAATGCAAAGTCCGAGAACGTCTTGAATGTAAGACTGGATGCTTTCGCCGGATTTTTGTGCGCGAGACTTGAGGTGGTCTTTCGCTCGTCTGAGGTAGGATTGTGTGTCTCCAAAGGTCACTTTCAAACCATTTTCGAATAAAGTCCAAGACGTCAGTGAGTCCTCATTGTTTTCGTACCATTGTCTTGCGGTGCCGTCCAGGAAGAAGTAGGCATTAGCTAATTGCATAGTGTCATCCCAATGATTGTACGATGACACTCTCTGGTATTCCTTCAGCCATTTTGTCGGATCTTGTCCTGGAGTACCCCGGAAGATCGTTGGTTTCCTGGCTTCAGCAGCAACTGTTGGCGCCATCCAAAAGGCAGGTTTCATATCCTGTTGGTCGTACGATTGACTTGGGACAATATGACTTAAAGGTGGTCGTAAAAAAACACTCTGTATAAGTTTCAAGTCAAGTTATCATTAAAAAAGCAATATATAAAAATCAACAATTCCATATTTAGTCTTTTTTCTTGACTGTATCACAGCGGTGCAAAAACTCAGGAAATTAGTGTACAGAGTGCAAAAAAAAAAATTTAAAAACATTTAAAAAAAATGGACCATTATAAAGAAATAAACGGATCATAATAATTTCGTGGAAAAATTTTTTCGATTCCCAAAAAAGTTCTTAGGACATGGTGAAATACGCAAAAAATAAAATTAACATTAAGAGGTTCAAACTTTGAACCGCTTTCTTGACCAAACTATTAGGACCAAAGACCCCGAGTACTGCTACCCCCTGCATTTTGGGGGTCAGAAATCGGAATCCGTTGAATAAAATGCATGTTTATTCAGAGAAAGAACGTTTTTGTGTCTGATTTCTTAACTTAAAATATCGTCTACATAAATTAGTTAGCATATTTGAGGTCACTCCTTCGAGCCATTAAGATTGAGTTCTAGAACGTGAAGATCCGATCATTAGATTAAAAGTTATTTAGGGCGGTCCGCTTTTTATTTTGCTCACTTTGCATTTGAAAGAAAAAGATTAATTCAAAAACTGTTCATGGATCATTAAATGAAAAAACTTATCAACTCGAGAAAAAAAGTTCTCTCTTTTCGAAAATATTAATCAATAAATAAATCTAAATAAAAAATATATTAATATTAAAATGTTCTTTAAATTGTGGTTTTAGCCAATGTCAAATTCGCATTTTTTTTCTTTTAGAAATTTTTTACAGACTTTAAAAATCTATTATAAGCACAGAAACAAATGGGGAAAATTAATCTTTTCCCCAAAAAAGTGTCTTTTTTTTCCCTCTCACAGTTTGTTTCAGCGAAGATTTATTTCTAAGTAGCCATTGGATCTTAATTAGATGGTATTAAGTATTCCATTTACTAAAGTACTTCGTGTTTTGTATGCAAAAAATGCCTGCCAAAAGTGATCAAGTTAGAAGAAAAAGTTTTTCCCTGTATTCGAGAAAAATATAGATGTTTAAGTAGATTGCATTTCTGTTATCAAAAAGAAAATTGTCATAAAATTGATACTTAGAAACTACGGATATCGCAAAGAGATTAAAGCAATTTTAACAGGACAGTAGTTAGTTTAGAATTTAAGTTTTTGCAATGATACCAAATATTTATGAATGTTTTTCTGGTTTTTCTTTAATTATTAGTGTTCAGAAGTTCTTTTTTATTAATAATTTTGGGATATGTTTCAAAGGTTTCTTAAATTTCTTTTATGAGATTCATAATACACTGAATAATTCAAAGAATTGCAATAAAAGTATAATGTTGTTTTGTCTGATTCATAAAATATGATTGCAAGAAAGAAAATAAAAAAATATATACAACGAAGAACGATGAACGAAATGGCAATGCTGAGAATAATAAACTTTGTAAATAAGTATCTTCTTGGAATTAAACTAGAACACAGAGAAAAAAGTATGCACAAAACTACCAGAATATGGTAAAATTTACCGTGTTTCTAGCTCGATGGGAATACAAAAAAGCTCGAAATTTTTACCGAAGTGTTTTGGTAAAAACTTTGGTAAAATCAACAATAAAATATGGTTTTTATAATGTGTAATAAAATTTGTAAAATGTGGTAAAATTTGGTAATAATAATTGTGGTAATAATTTACCCAAAATACCATAAAGCAGTGGATCCCAAAAGGTATTCCATGGAACTTTAGGGTTCCAGGAAAGAATCACAGGGATACCGAAAATTATATATTTGTTAAACGGCAATGATTTTTTCAACCTGTTATTATATTTATATCCAATAAATAGTTCATAATTTAATACTTCTTTAAATTTTAAGAAATAATTTACAATTCAAATGAAATAAGAAATAGCAAAATTAAAAAAAAAAACAATTTAATAACATTATACAGAATAAATTATAAATAGGGTTTGCCTTTATAAACAATTTAGTCAGTATTTCTCATCGAAATATTTAACTTAAAATTAACCAAATTTAAGAATAAAAATTTTTTTTCTCTGATAACCATTCTCAACGTTTGTTAATTCAGTTTACTTCTACCATTTTTGTATTATACATACAACAAAAACAAATTCAAATACCGCTCTAGACCTATGAATTTAACTACCTAATGTAAAACCAAATTATAATATAAGACTATTATTGATAAAAGGATGACAATATTTCTTTCTTCACATTAAATATTTCCAAAGTAATTAGTAGTATCTTTTTGGTCAGTTTATTTTTAGCTGCCGATAAATTTTATTTATGAAGTCGGGGTAAGAATTCACCATAGCCGATAGAAATTGGAAACCACTGCCTTAGAGCTTGGAATAGAAATAATTTATTCGGCTAAATTTACTTTTCAATTTCGTATTTTTTACTAAATATGTGGTAATAAGAACTATAATTTCGAAAACCAAAATTTGAACAGAAAAATTAGCAAATGAATGATTTAGATACCCTATATTTTGCCTTTATTGACGAAAATAGGTTGATTGTTTGTTTTTCCGATCAGAAATGTCATTCCCATACAGTACGGTAATTTCACCAGAATTTTTTTCTCCATATGTATTAAAGCTTAATTTGATAATTTGGTTCTATTAAAGGTTAAGGCTGTCGGAAATTCAGCGAAAGTGGTAAAATAAGGTTTTAGCCATCTTAATAAGGTACATACAGATTTGAACCATGTTTTCGCTTAAATTGAATTACGTAGTAGGTAGTTAGTAACACGTATTAAAAAAATAAAAAAACATAAAATTAGAGTTCCACTTTGCCAGCCATAGGCGTAACATGCAAGATACTTTAAATATGTCTGCCATTTTTTAGTATTTCTATGCATTTGGTGCGATCTATTTTTTTTTTTTTTTTTAAGTTGGAACCGAATTTTTGATACCAAAAGATTGTACTTTACATATAAAATTAATTGATAAAGGAAAACGACATTACGTACGAAATAAGTTAATAATCAGAATATAAAACATAGATAGTCTCTCAAATCGTTCCTAAATATTTATGCTTGAAACAAATCAGAATATTTTGATTTTAAAACATGTCGCAAGTTGTTTGTTGCTATAATCGTTTGCAGCAAAATTGGCTAATGTGGCAAATTAAGGTTTCATCAACCTTAATAAGGTGTTAATTTGAACAATGCTTTCGTTTTAAGTTGAACCTCAACCTTAATCTTGAGTGTTAAGTTGCACCTTTAGCATCTGTGTTGAAGTTAAAGAAATTTAATTATAGGTTAAAGCTGCAGCAAAGATTAAATCCGCAGCAAAAGCGAGTGATAGGTTAAAGCTGTAGCAAAATCAGCGAAAGTGGTAAATTAAGGTTTCAAGAACCTTATTAAGGTGTCATATAGAACAATGTTGCCGTTCAAGTTAATGAATACGATAACATGGTCCAATATAGTGACATATTAAGGTTGAAAGTAATTAGAACGATATTATGGTTCTTTACTCAGAAAAATTTCTAACAGTGTACAATTTCGATACGTACCACGATCTGTATAAAGGCAAAATGAATAAAAGGCAATTTTTTACTACTAAAAAAAAATGATGCACTACGAACAGAAAAAAAAACTGAAAACAAGAGTGAAATGTTGAAACTGTTTGATTGGAAAAAGCTGGGAAAAACCCGTTCAATCTGGAAGATAAGTGAGAGTAAAAAAGAACAAATAATAATGACCAATAGCGAGAGTGAAAGGTAAGGGGGTTTTCTAAACACAAGCATTTTTCCACTTCCCCACCTTAATCGTGTACTTGACCTCATTCTTCTTAGCGTCCTTGCATTACATCTTTTCGTCTAATTTTAATGTCTCACATCTCCAACAAATTCAACGCCCTGCAAATTTGACCTTCGTGTAGATGGGACGGATTATACATTGGTCAGCCCCAGGGCTGTATCTTCATCTGCGGGATTCGACTATATAAGGGGATCAAACCACGATCACAGACACAGCTCACTCCAGCTTCTCAATCTTTATCATTGTCCAGTCCTAAGACTTGTCTTACAAACCTCAACATGTACAAATTGGTGAGAACATTACTTCATTACTTCTTTTAATAACTGTGCTTAAATACAATGTATTTTAACATGTAATGTAAAAAGTTCAGTTCAACTGGTAGGAATAAAGTTAAAATTGCGAACTGTTTAAATGTATTAAATATATGATTTGATTTTCTTTTAAAACTGAAATATCATAGAATTTTTGTGATAAAAATTAAAAAAAATATATCATGAATTTTCAAATGAATAAAAATTTGACGATAAAAAAATCAATCCAATAAGTTTATTCAATTTTTTTTTTTAATAATATGGCCGCATTTTTCAATTGAATCTGAAATGTTACAAAAAATGTGTCAAAATTTATAATTTTTTTCCAATTATGCTACCGAAAATTTAGAATCATTTAGTGAAGTGTGTACTCATATATTTAAGACTAAGGCTTACTTATATTCGTTTTTATTTGTATATTTATCTCGTTTTGCATTTTAAACTCAAAGTTAATTTTTTGTAAAGGGAATATAAATTAATCAAATTAGACCAATTTTTATTTTTATGTGCAAAAATTAAGCTGATGCTTGTCTATTTTTCCTTTAAAATTTCACCATGACTAAACTACAAGTAAATGCGGAGTATTACATAATACTCGCAGAAAAAATATTGTGTCTTATCCCAAATTGATGGTTAGAATACTTTATATTTTAAATTTAATATTTTCTTCTGCATAAAATGTAAATATTCTGTATAAAACGTATACATTTCTCATTTGAATTAAGTTCATATTCTCAATTTTTAAAATTCATTTTTTTAATTTATAAATCTTGCCGGGGTTACAGTTAAAAACACTTTTATTTAAAAGCATTTTTATGACCATTCCTTGCTTATCTCTTTTTCAAATTAAAAAGATCGAGATGAATACTAAAAATATTAGAAAAACTTTGGTTCATTAATATTAAAATGCAAACCCAATATTTATATTTTCGCTGGGAAATAAAACTATCACGCAATTTTAAATGACTTACAATTTCCTACTCTATAATAACATGTCCTCCTGAAAGTGCTTTTATATCTCTTTATTATACGTATAAAAAAATTAATCTCTAAGAGGAAAAAGTGACCAATACATAAACTGGTTAAGTTCAGAAATTATACAAATCAGCCTAGTTTTTCAGAATTACGCAAAATATATTTGCTTAATATGCCATCGAATATTTGCTCGTAGTTGGATATATTTTCCATTCGACTGAAAATAAATGGAAATTTTTATTATGCAAGACAGCAATTCTTTTTTTTTTTTTTTTTTTTTTTTTAAATTTTAAATGGTACTTCGAAAAAATTTTAATGATATTACATGCCAGAAATCAATAGATATTAATACATTAATTGAAATAACCTATTCAAAAATTACCTTTTTTATTAATTTACTGAGTTTAAACCATTAAAAATAGGTCAGAAAATGTGTATGTGTTATGAAAGTGTCTTGCGTTTCTAAAGAATATTTTATGCATTCTTTTATAAATTATTTCATTTTTTGATTAAATTTTAGAAAAATTGCTATTTTCAGAGCATAACTTTAGTATACAAAATTATAAGGGGTATTATTTTTGTATTAAAAAGTTATGATCAACCTATAAAAATTAATTTAAGATATACATTAAATTTCAAAGCATGCAACTTGAATTCAGAAAAAAAGCAGAAAATTAAATTGCGTTATTTTTCTTTTTGTCGCTTTTTTCCAGTTATTTACAACTTGTTAAGAATATACGAAATTTTGAAGAAGTTATTAACAAAATTATTAATTCAAACCATTCATATTTAATATTAAGCTTTTATTTAATATATCACTTTATATAAATCATTTCATAATTTAAGAATGATCATATTACATAGTTAAAAATATGGAATAAATGGCGACAGTAAATATAAAATAAAATTGTTCGTGGTAAATTCGAAAAAAAAAAGTGTTCATGAAGAAGAAAATATTAGTAAAAAAAATAAAATTCTAATTGTTCAGTTTAATATAGCTACTGTTTGCTTGAAACTATTTAAACAATATTTTTTACAACTATCTTTAGCACGGTCTACAGTTCGAAAAACATTTGTAGGAACATTTCAAATGCTTGTTGGAAATTATTAGATTAATTTATTTGTCTCGTATTGAGTGTCAAGAAATATTTTCTTAAATAATGGAGAGTGCACCAAGAAAAGTTAAAAAAAAAAAAAAAAAGATAGAAATTGTGCTCCTTATTAGCGAATTTATCAAGTTAACTAATCATTCCTTACTTCTACCATATACTAAAAATATCATGAATATGTACTTTAATCTAAAATAATTTGAGCATTCCCCTTTAATAATAATAATAAAAAAAAGAATATTTTGCTAGTTTTAAACTTTTATGACGGATTACCACTTTTTGTGCGTCACCACTTTCTGCATCTTTAGGTCACTGAGTTTTGTTCGTAAAGTTACAGTCCGCCATTGAAATTGTCTTCTTAAAAAAAATGTATCAATCTTTTCGATTAAATCTTTACTTACAGTTCGTTTCCTTTTTTCCAGGCAATCTTCGCAACTATCTTGGCTGTCTGCTCAGCAACAGCTATTCTTCATCCAGCTCTCCACTACGTGGCTCCACACTCTGCAGCCAAAATAACCAAAGTCGAATGGGAACATAAACCAGTCAGCTACGTGGTCCCCGCAGTGCACCACGCACCAGTTGTATCCTATGCTCACAAGAGCGTTGTCCATCATGCTGCTCCACTTGTACATGCTCCAGTTGTTCATGCTGCCCCATTATTGCACGCACCCATTGTACACGCAGCCCCAGTAGTACACCATGCTGCACCACTTGTCCACGCCGCCCCTCTGCTCCACGCACCAGTAGTAGCCCACCATTCCATTCACCACTCCACCCTCTTGGCCCACAAGAAGGCATAAGGAGAAAAATGTTCAGATGGTAACTTGGAATTCAGAGCTTGGAACTGTTGAAAATAACACTGTTTGTTAGTTTTTGTTATCCGATTTGGCTCGGAGTGTTCCATTTTCAGCACAAATAAAAAAAAATCATTCCGTTATTTGATTCTTTCTTTTTTCTTTTGTTGTGCTTCGTTGAAATTTAAAATATGGCTTTATGCCACACGTAAAACACAATTCCTTGCGACTCGTTGCGTGTCATGTTCCGTACACACCAATTGCACGCGTACAGGTTATCTTATTTCTTAAGAAAGAAATTTTCACAATTGAATTTAAGTTTATATTTTATATTGAGTTCAAATTTGGGCTTGAAATTAAGATATCACATGAATATAACATTCCAACATTTAATTTAACTCTTAAAAACTTACTTCTATTTTTACTAAAAAGATTTTTGACTTCTTTATCATGACATTCAAGTAAATTTTACTTCTGATTGGTAAGTACTTACTTTAAATTTATTTGATCAATACCAGAGACAATTTATTCCAGATCATTACATACTCACATTATAACCAGGTTCAAATGACAAATAATTACTGCCAATTAGTTGTATTTAAATGTTCTTTATCTCTAATGTTACCATATCTAGAACATAATTAGAACATATACCTTTTCCATGCAAAGATTATTTGCTTGAAAGAACTTATATACTAAAATTCATTTCGATTGGCGAATTGGCTTGTGATATTAAATAAAAAATCTACAAAATGATGAGAAAAGAACTCTTTAAAATTCAGAAAATATGTTTGATTTTTTTAGTTCAAACAATAAAATAACCCTTACTTTTCTTCCTACATGCAAGAAAGAATTATTAGAACCTTAATCGCTTTCAAGAAATCAGCATTCGAACAAAAGACGACGATATTTCACGTGTAAATTATGCAGACGATAAAAAAGAAAAGAAATTCGCAATACTCCCACTTAACACAAATCTTGTGATCAATCAGGTGTGTCACAGTTTCCGAATCGAAACTGAGAGAATAGCTTAGTTCGTTGTCATGCATTTATTAAAAATCAATGAATGGGCGTTGATGCTATTGCCTATTAGCATTGAGTGTTACAGAAGCTCTACACTAATATTTATTGAGATGTCAACATCAATTCAAGTTGTTTCAAAAGGTGTTTCATATTTATGGCAGCATGTATTTCATATTGATAACATTTGTCCCTAAACTTAAAATATAGCTGTCGCAAGCTGAGTGATTCATCATCTGCTCTGTGATATACTTCATTAATTTACCGCTCCTATTTTTTATTTTATTTATATAATTTGCTTATGTGAAACCAAGATTTTTTTCCCTTTATATTTGAATAATCGCCATATAAATTTATTAAATTATTGAAGGGCACAAAGGAAATACAATTACTGACGGTATGTAAAGTTTTAAAAGAGAATAGTTTAATTTAATAATGAGAATAGTTAGATTTTATTTTAAATTAACGTTGAAAAAATTTCTAAAAACAATAAATCAAATCATACTGACAAGTTTCTAAGTAAAGAAAGGTCTTGTTAGGCAATCGAAAGCACTGTAGCAGATGATACTTCTCCGATTCTAACGCATATTCTAAGAAAGTTGAGCTGATTCTTTTTCACATAAAGTAAACAAGTTTCAAAAAACAAAAATATCGTGATGATGGAATAACAATAATTAATAGTTTTTCGCACAAGTTTATTTAATTTTAATTTTGAATGCAATGCATAATCTATTGTTTCAGAATTACTTCTTCAAGAAACTAAATACCCACATTGGATTGTTAAACTTAAACGAAACATTTATTTTGCACTTATCGATTGCTCAACAAATCTTGCATTGACAAGAAGTTACGAGAAAAGTTGACTTTTCCGCAATGATGCTCTTTCTGCAAAGAAAGCACTTTTACAGACGTAAAAAAAGAAAGTTAGTCGAAGAAACTGCTGCCTCACGGGAAAGTGGATTTAATTAAGATTAAAGACTAAGACTATACGCTGTCCAACTGGACAAACGTTAGTTTCACTATCGGAAGATAAATAATTGCGAGTTGACTAAAAGCAGATAAAAAGTAAACCTGTGAAAAATAAAGTGATTTAATTATCTAGGGTGACGTAGGTTTTTACAATTTTCAAATTGCTCTTTTTTTACTTTGAAATTTATTTCTTCGATTTAATTCGAATTTCATAAAGGTTTTATTTCAAATAATTTTTGAAAAATTATATTATTCTCCTAAGAAAAATCCGCTTGACAAGTATTCAGCTACAAGCACAATTTTGTAAGACATTTTTATTTTCAGAACTTCATTATTTTATTCTCTTTTTTATGTATGTTATTTTTTGATGTTTAAGTTAAGTTCTTTTAATGCTAATGTCGAAAAACCCTTAAAATTTAAAATAATTGAAAGTTACATTTTATGATTCTAAATTTTTCTTAAGTTTTCACCAAATTATTATTTTATTATTATCATTATTTTAAATTTGATTAAGAGTGAGTACAAAATGCATATTTTAGCATTTCTTTCTGCCATGTTTGATATGATTGATTATAAATGAAAGGAAAAAGACAATTTCCGATAATTTTGTATTGAATTTAGATTGAGAAACAGAACAAAACTATGTAATCCTTATGCCGTATGTGCTATATAACAAGTAGTAGCATGTAGTATATAACACAAAAGTTTTTAATATAAGACGTTTATTTATTTATTTTTATGAACATCGAAAAATTTTATTATTCTTGACAATAATGACTATCTATTTACATTATATGTAGCAAAAATTATCCAAAATTAAATTTTTAATATGAGATTGTTTAATGGAAGATAAAGAAGATTGACTAAAAATTATATTGTTCTTATTTGTCGTTTTCAACATTGTTTGATCAACAAAATAACTTTTTATTTTTTAAAAATATCATTAAAAAGATTTTTAAAGAAATTTTTGACTAAATAGAAAGTTTAATAATTTCAATTTGAATTAGATTCTTAAATTATTAAGTCTAATATTAAACTAATTTACTAATAGATGGCAGCACGAAATATTTTTCGCAATTTATTACATTGTCTACTATGTTTTTAAATTATTTTTTCATTTAATTTATACAAATAATTCTTCTAGTCACAGTTTCATCGTATCAAACTTTCATTTGGGATAATATTATTGGCTAAAACGTCGCATAATTATATAGAATTTAGATATATGTCCTAAGTCTTTAAATGTTGTTGCATAAAATTAAATATTAGAAATTGGAGATTTTTTGTTACATCAACAGTAGAAAGTCATACTTTTACTATTACTATTATTAATCGTGATAAAACATGATAATAATTGGTGATAGACCACCGAGTTAGTTTAAAATCATCAGACCAGAGCAATAAAATCAAAATTTAAAATCAACATAGCCGATGTAAAATACCGTATTTACTCTTTTAAATATATATAGGCTTATTTGCTTCGTATTTTTTACTAAAAGTAAATAAAAACAGCAAAAAAGTAAAGAATTAATTTATAATGAAAAAAAAATACTAATCTGTATTTAAAAAACTCTTTTTTTTCTTCATAAAACAAACTAATATTTATTTAATTCAATATTAATTTTTCTCAAAAATAAGAATTTGCTTGTGAAGTAACATTAATATGTAATAAAAATATAGTTTTGCATTAAAGGAAGAAATTGCTCATTTAATTGAAATAAATAATACAATGCAAAATTGTTAAAAAAAAAAAAAAAAAAAATCAAGTCTATNAATTAAAAAAAAAAAAAAAAAAAAAAAAAAAAAAAAAAAAAGGCTTATTTATCTTACTGGAGACATTTCTATGCATTATTTTTAAGTCTTTTAATTTTAAATACATTTTTCGAAACATTTTTCTTGATATCATTTATTTTTAAAATTTTTCGATGTATTTTATATGTCTTTTAGTATTATGTACGCTTTTAAATAATTTCAAGATGATAATTTTTTAAATATTTATTTACAATATCGTACAAAGCTTAAAAAACGTCTCTTCGTGTAAAGCTTTAAATATGTATATATTTCTTTAATTGGAAGAGAAATGATAAAATTGCAGGTATGTTACATCTATGACATTTAAAAACCATTTCCAAAAATTCAAATTTCGAATCACATAATTTTCAGCAAACCGAAATACATTAAAACAATACAGAACAAAATACATTACGATTCGGATACAAGTTTATTCCTTATAAAAACATTTCTTTTTGCTTCAGTCTCTCTTATTTTTCTTTTAAAAAAAAGGTCTATGAAAAATAATTATGTTACAGCAAATAATTATATATTTATTTACGTACATAAATGTATAAAACTAAAATATTTATTACAAATTAGTCTTTTATAAACATTTCCTTATTTATAGTTGCTCGTAATGTCGAAGGGACTTAAAAGTGAAAATTTTCTATAGCTATTGTCATGTATAGTGCACGGGAAAAAAAAGGATTTAACCCAGAATAACGTTCGTTATAATGATTGAATTTTCACGTACTAGGAGTCAATCTTAATAGTTTCTGGGGATAACTTCAAACATGCTAATTAATTAATGCTAACTATAAATTAAGTTATGAAATCTGACACAAAAACGTACTTTTCTTAAATAAAAATATAACTTTTTTTCCATATTTGTGTTCCTGACCATCAAAATTTCAAAAAGATTGGATCATAAATAGGTGGGCTAATAAGGTATATATATTTAGCGATAGTCCTACAAAAGATCCAAGCAAAGTCGCAAATGAATATTTTAAGGTAATCCATAGGCTAATTCAAAAGAGGAATGGCTAATTTTACTTCGTTGCTAAGCAACTATGTTCAGACAATAAAAAAATATAAATAAATAAATAAATAAATAATGTTCTGTGATTGCTCAGAAAGGTTTATTTATTCATAGTTAATAGAAAATATAGTTAATAGAAGGTTCTAGGCAATAGACAATTTTCCTGCTGATTTCTGACTAAAAAGCTAAGTTTTTTTTCTTTTTAATCTCCTCTGAAAGGAAAATTTGAATCGATATATAAATTATTTGTGAACTTTCAATTTGTAACTTTCCAATTTGTTAAAAAGCATGCTTAAATTTTCTTTCAATATTTACAGTACAAAGATTTTATACTAAACTAAA